TTTCTTTCTTTCTTTCTTTCTTTCTTTCTTTCTTTCTTTCTTTCTTTTTAAGATTAATAATTTTATTTATTTGAGAGACAGGATGAGTGGGAGAGGCAGAGGGAGAGAATCACAAACAGACTTGGTGCTGAGTGTGGAGCTCCACGCGGGGCTTGATCTCACGACCCTGTGATCACCACCTGAGCTGGACGCTTACCCAGCTGCGCCACCTAGGCGCCCCCAAAGATTCTATTTCTAAATAAGGTCACATTATCAGTATCAGGGGTTAGATCTTAAATGTCTGAATTTTTTTGTAGGGGGGACAAAATTCAACCTTTACTTACTAGGCAACATAGTCACTGTTCTCCATGTGGGGGATTTTTTTTTTTTTAAAGATTTTATTTATTTATTTGACAGAGAGAGAGAGACGGAGGGAACACAAGCAGGGGGACAGGGAGAGGGAGAAGCAGGCTCACCATGGAATAGGGAGCCCCATGCAGGGCTCAATCCCAGGACCCTGAGATGATCTGAGCCAAAGGCAGAGGCCTAACGACTAAGCTACCCAAGTGCCCCCTTTTTATTATTTTAAAGATTTATTTAGGGGCGCCTGGGTGGCTCAGTGGGTTAAAGCCTCTGCCTTCGGCTCAGCTCCTGATCCTGGGCTCCTGGGATTGAGCCCCACATTGGGCTATCTGCTCAGCAGGGAGCCTGCTTCCCTTCCTCTCTCTCTGGTTGCCTCTCTGACCACTCATGATCTCTCTCTCTCTGTCAAATAAATAAATAAAATCTTTTAAAAAATAAATAAAGTTTTATTTATTTGAGAGAGAGAGAGCATGCACACACACTCACAAACCAGTGGAGAGGCAGAGGGAGAGAATGCCAAGCAGACTCCCCACTGAGCTTGGAGCCCAATGATGCAGAACTCAATCCCAGGACCCTGAGATCATGACCTGAGCTGAAGTCAAGAGTCAGATGCCCAACTGACTGAACCACCCAGGCACATCCTCCATTTTTCACTTTTTTTTTTTTAATATGTTATTTATTTATTTGCAGAGAGGTCACAAGCAGGCAGAGAGGCAGGCAGAGAGAGAGGTGGAAGCACGCTCCCCGCTGAGCAGAGAGCCTGATACGGGGCTCAATCCCAGGACCCTGAGATCATGACCTGAGTTGAAGGCAGAGGCTTAACCCACTGAGCCACCCAGGCGCCCCTCCATTTTTCACTTTTAATAAAATAGTTTTGTTCAAACAACAACGTGCCCAGCCCCACACATGACTGGTCTAAGCCAAACATGCCAACACTTCCTTTGATCACTGTATTTTCATTTATTAATATATAGTATGTATCTGTTATATTATAAACCTAACTCAAATGTTGCTGAAACCTATTTTTTTTTTTAAGATTTTATTTTTAGGGGCGCCTGGGTAGCTCAGTGGGTTGGGCCTCTGCTTTCGGCTCAGGTCATAATCTCAGGGTCCTGGGATCAAGCCCCGCATGGGGCCCTCTGCTCGGCAGGGAGCCTGCTTCCCCCTCTCTCTCTGCCTGCCTTTCTGCCTACCTGTGATCTCTGTCAAGTAAATAAATAAAATCTTTTAAAAAAAATTTTATTTTTAAGTAATCACTACACCCAACGTGGGGCTCGAACTCACTGCCCCGAGATCAAGAGTCACGTGCTCCACTGACTGAGCCAGCCAGACGCCCCTGCTAAAGCCTATGCCTTTGGAACAGCATTTCTTTCTATCCAAATGTCCTTGACTCTTAACATCCAATGATGGTCATTGTTTCCTAGCAACCCAAAATGCTATACAATTTTTCAATACGACAAAATATAATCCCTCTTCCTACGCTGTGGTAGAACGTTGGACCTGAAGAAAAATTCTCATAGTGTTAGATCTTATTCCTTCTGCTGTTGCTTTGCTATTAGAAGTCTTTAACATCTCCCAAAAGTGCTGAGGCCTCTCAGGTCAGGTGTCCACCCAGGACCTCAGTGTCCAGAGATGGGGGGAGGACCATCAAGCTGTCCCCTAATCTTGACCGCCAGGAAGACCATCGCAGCTGAAATCGCGCTGAACTCGGGGATGAAGGCCAGAGGTTTCTGTTACTGATCGTGACACAATTGGCAGAGCCATAGCTACTAGCAACACCAGACCTGATAGAAGCAGCCCGGCCACAGCTACCTCCATCCCGACACACTGGGAGAGGTGCAGATGGGCAGCCAACATGTCCAGCCCCATTGTGTCCACCGAGGAGCAGCCCTGCGACTTGCCCTCCAACAGCCTGGCCCCAGGGCAGGAGGCATGCAGAGTCCAGTGAAGTCCTGGACCATGGGAAAGGGAAAACCCTGCCCGTCACCATCTTCCCCAACCCAAAGGCAGGCGACAAAGAAAACAGGGCAGAACCAGCCAACACACCCCCACTCACAACCCCCTGGTGCCCCTCCATCCTTGACCAAGCCCCTGGTTTCATCCGCTCCCTAAAGATGCCACGATCTGGGACCCATAATTTCCCCTTAATGGTCCTCCACCTCAGATGCACCTTCACACATCTGCTTCCTGCTCAGGGGCGAGGACCCAGAATCCTAGGTTGGCCCAGAGAAAACTCGGCCCTGTCCCTGCCCATGGGCATTAGGCCCAGGACTCACTCCGGGACAAGACAGCTTCCTCTCCAGAGAGGGGTAGGCATGGAAGTGGGAGCTGGACTGAAGATCCCAACACAGACCTATGAGAGACCTCAATGTGGGAGTCTTCAGAACCAGCTGAAAATACCTCAGAAATGGAGAGATGGCCACAAGATACAACCTTAGATTCTCATTTTTATTTTTTTTAAGTAAGCTCTAGGCCCAACATGGGGCTTGAACTCACAACCCGGCGATCAAGAGTCACATGCTCTACTGACTGAGCCAGCCAGGCGCCCCAATTTTTTCTTTAAGTATTTATTGCAAAGAATGCTGGACACAGTGTGATGGGCAGCTGAGATCCACCAACCATCACCCATTCCAGGGAGAATGGGAAAATGTCTTTGACGCAAGCACATGTGTCTTCGACACAAATGTTTTGACACGAGAACTGTCATGGATAAAAGGTGGCAGCCAAGCAGTGGGTGGCTGCCCATGCAGAGAGCACTCCAGGCAGAGGCGGAGAGGATCTGCCCCAAGCGATACCATGCCCCCGACTTCCCCCTGCCCAATCCCAGTCCTCGTAACACTCTGGGTCCAGCAGCTCCTGACTGCCCTTGCTGGTTGTGCCTCGCTGGTCGTGCTCGGCCAGCCGGTCCTGGAGAGGTGGGGACGTCTCAACGTGCATGGCGCCAACCGAAGAGACCCACCATGGCCAACAAGCAAGCATGTCCAAGTGACCAAGTCATCGAAACTCGGGGGGACATGGAAACAAGGGCTGTGGTCCCCATGTCCCAAAGGCAGTGGCATGGTCCTCTCGTCCTGACTTCAGGGCTAGGGGCTGGCATAAGTCCAGAAGCTCCTGCCCCAGCCCTCCACCAGGTCTGTCCACAGCCACTGCAGTGCACAAGGCTGAAAGACGGCCAGCCGGGGCGGGGGCACATGTTCCCCTCAGGGGCAAGTGGTACCTACAGGCTGCAAAGCCCCAGGAGGCTGGAAAAGATGGGCTGTTCTGCCAGGGAAGTTTCCAGGTACAATGTGGGCTCAGAATCCCGGACCAGGACCCACTTGTGGACAGCAGGGCCTCTGACTACAGACCCAGACACCTCCTCACGCAGCTTCTCAACTTGCCGGCCAGGCCTCCTGCCCAGAGACAAGATGGAGCCAGGACTCCCTGGCCAGCCTGCCTCCCTGGGCCCAAAGGAACTCAGGGGTGTGTGACAGATGGCAGCCCCCCGGGGTGGTTCTCATGCCAGGCTCCCACACACGGGAGGCCGAAACTGTGCCATGCTGGGAAAATCCTCCCCTGGGCAGGGTGCCCCCACCTTCCTGCCGGTCCCCTGCTCGGTCTCACAGGCGGAGGGCAGAGAATGCCAGGACAGGCTTGTTTCTCTGAATGGTTCACAACAAATGCATTTCTCGGTCACCAGGGTCCACTCCTGTGTGGACACAGCGGTGACGGGGCAGAGGTAGCGAGGGGAGCACAGTAGGGGACGGAGAGGCAGGATGGCAGCCTCTTCCTCGAGCACCTGGGTCGGCACAGGGAAGGGAGTTCACACGACCACCCCGACTTCATGTGCTTTCACCGGGACAGCCATGGGGCAGGGGTGGCTTGGCCCCCCAGATCCCCCAAATGTTCCAGCGTATGCACGGTTGAGAAGGGGTGACCACAGGGGCCGCACTCCCTGCAGGCTTCTGCTGAAGTGAGCACACGGCGCTCACGAGTGGCTCCAACATGAGGGCCGGGCCTCGGCGGCTCTCCGGTTCCCGGTGGGGCAGGACAGGAGGGGCACCCCCGGGCAGATCCAGTCTGGCCAAAACTTTACAGCAGCCTATCGGGCACAGCGTCTAACCCTGTCACCATCAGTGAGGAAGCAGGGGGGCCAGTGCATGGCCTCTGGGATATTCCAGCAGAGAAACTGTCACACGGGCCAGGGGGCCTGTTATGACCGCACCGGCAGAGCTCAGTATCTGCCTGGGGGTGGCGGTGGAGGAGACACAGTCACTGGTGCGCAGGGACCGTGACGAGGGCTTCCTCCGGGGGCCTCGAGATGTCTACATTCTGCAAAACACACACACAAAACACAGAACGTTCACTCTGTGGCCAGAACAGATGGACACCCACTGTCCTGCTGTCTACTTTACTCATTGCTGCAGTCTTCTAGGTTCACATACTCACCCTCCCAGAGCCCTGGCTGTGGGACTCCAACCCCCAAATTTCCCTAAGAGCGAGGTGCCCAGGAGCCTCTCCACAGGTGAGTGGGCAGACGAGCACAAGAAGTCAAAGGAGGGGAGGAAGGTGCTTGGGTCCTGCTTGCTCCTTGCTCACGGGACCGGCAGTGCCCAGAACGAGGCCATCCCACCTCCTGCCTCAGACGTGAGGCAACTGGGAGGGAACAGTGGCTGGGGGCTCAAATCCTCACCGGTGGGGGCAGGGAAGGGAACCCCTTCCTGGAGGTGCCCACCTCCTGGTCTAAGTCTTGGTGGGCAGGTATGTGATGAGGCCCCAGGAGCCTGTGTACCCCTCCTCGTCTGCGGCCTGCTCTGTCCTCTCAGAGCCGGGGCACAGGGCGCCCTGGACCTCCTGAAGCTGTCAGCTACAGACGGGCCTCACCGAGCCACAAAGACCGGCCCCTTCCATGGCCTGCAGGGCTCAGGTCTGAGGGATACGGGGCCTGACACTTTCCTCAGCTCCATGAGACGGTCCTATGAGTCCCCCAATCCTGGTGGCCCATCTTCTTGATTGTGGGCCCTCACAACCAGCACCTGCTGAAGCAGGTCACCTGGGGCCACCGTGATGCACCCGGACCCACAGGGAAGAAGAAACGGCCCCTAGGGGCCCACCTCTGGGTTTGCTGAACCAGCCACTGCAAGGGGAGGGACAGGTATGACTCTGATGCGGGATGGGGCAGGCTTCCTGGGGGCCCCTTTCCCATCTCAGTTTGCTCCCAAGAATGGGCTATGGGCTAGGGCCTGGGGATCCTGCCACCTAAAGGGAACCTGTGGTCAGCGGAAGTTGGCCTCTCAGAAGGCAGCATGCAGAGGGGGGCAAAGGGGCTGCCAGGGAACCTATGGGTCCCACCCTATAGATGAGAGGTTCAGCCCCCAGTGCCCGCCGGGTCCAGGGGCTTCTCTTACCATCACCCTATCAGTCAGAGAGGGCCCACTGCCTTCTGGACTTCCCTCAACACAAAGGGCCCCTGTTAGGACATGCCTTCCCCAGTGACCTATGGGGACCAGAGGGGGCCTGCAGCAGAGTCTCAGGACAAACAGGGAAGAGGCCTGCACGGTGGATGGTCCCAGTGAGGGGGCAGCGCCTTAAGAACATCCACACATCTCTGCCGGTGGGGATCAAGGCCAAAGGGCTGCAGGTGAGCAGCCCAAGTTGTGCACCTTTGGCAGGGACCCAGAGCCCCCCTCCCACCCCCTTATGGGGGGCAGCAGGCACAAATGAGACCCCAGGAGCCTTCTTGGTGCACCCGACTCCGGGAATGGGATCCAGAAGGGCTGGTCCAGCCCTTGGCCTCAGTGGAAGAGGTAAGCAATGTGGCAGAGAGACCTCCCATGGGCATGGAAAGGGGTTCTAGGCAATGGTTCCAGGAGCTTCTATCTTAAACAAGGCACTGGGGGAACACAGGGTCATGAACTGCTCTATAGCAGGACCGTCTCTGTCCAGCACCAACACACTCTTAAACCTTTCCCCAACAAAAAGCACATATCATTTTAGTTTTTAAAGGTGCTCGAAGTTGGAAAGGATGCCCATGAGGCCTGAACTTGGAGGGGATCATGGAAGAATCTCCACCCGTCCCCTTGTAGGCCGCCTGCTTCTTTCCCAGCTGAGGCTCCCTCTCCCGCTGGCTCAGACCTCTACAGTAGGGCTGCTGGGAAGCCACCATACCCAGGGTCAGGCACTTCCTACCCTGGTGGCCCAGCTCCAGGGACTTCCCCACTCCCAGGGCAGCACCCTTGGGAAGGCCTGGTCCAGAGTCATGACCTTGCCCTGACAACAAGACAGCAGGCTTGGCACAGAACTCAAGTTCTCTCTGGCAGGCACCCCAGCTGGCCCTGGGCCTGGGAGATGCTGTATCTGGATACCCCTGGGAATAAGCTCACCACCCCAGCCGTAACCCCGTTGCTACCTGAGGCCTGTCCCGGTGCGTGTTCACAGCCATCACATTCAGGAATATGGACTCCACTTTACAACCTGCCAAAGGGAAGATGTAAATCCATTTCCCCTCCTGGAGCCATAGAGGGTAGAGGCTTCTCTCGGGTGGCAGCCCTGGGTGTCATAGAACAGGCAGCCATTCTCAGCCTCATCCAGTCCTCCCACCTTAGGCAGCTTTGGGGAGCACGTGAGGAAGGATGAGGCACACCTCAGCCCTGTGTTTATCATGTGCCACCGTGCAGCCTTGGTGAGAAGCCCAGACACCCAGGAGGGCTTCACCGAGGACACAAGCTGTCCACTGCCAGGGCAGAGCCGTCTAAGCAGCCCCAGGCCTGAGCTCCACATGTTATCGTTCCGTGAGCCTTCAGGGCCCCTGAACCACTCATACCCCAAGCCACAAACACAAGGCCAAATCCACATCACACCGGGGGCTCCGTGCAATGGGCATGAGGGGATGGGCACACAGGGGCCTGACATCAGCTGTCGCTGGGCTTTCTGGTCATTCTCCTAAGGACACAACCCCCTGAGGGGTGCCTCGTAGCATGTGCTGAAGGTGAGGAGCTGAGACCCAGGAGCTTAGGAGGCGGCCTGAAGTCCCTTGCAGGCACAATGAAAGGCAGAGGTGGGGCTCGAATGACTCCGCCCTCAAGATACTCTGAATATTTTAAGGCCCAGGTCCTGGGGGCCGTCGGGGTTTCAGAAAAAAACAGAAAAGCCCGTCATGCAGGCGGATGATGGTTAAGGATCGCTGGAAAGGCTCAAGTGGCCACAGAAATTAAAACCAAAAAAAAGGAAACTGGGAAAGGCAGTGAGTGGACAGAGGAGGAATGAGCCCCTAAGCCCCTAAGGGGATTTTCAAGGGATTTACAGAAACATCATGGAGCCCCGTGGAAAGCCAGTGTCTGGCAAGCAGGCCAGTGTTCCAGAAGCTTCCTTACCATACGCCACAGGGGTCAGCTTCAGGACGGTGTGCAGTGGACACTTGAGGTAGGGCAGCTGCTCTGTGGACACAGATGGGCAGGGCTGGCACACCAGGGATGCCCACATAACAGTCCCTCTGTCTCCCTCACATACATACACCCCACCTCCCTGGGGGCTGGCCTGTACCTGCCGCCTTATCAAGGAAGTAGGCCAGGAGACAGCGCATCACGGCCTGGTGACAGATGACCAGCACATTCTCTTGCCTCTCCAGCTCCATGATGACAGGCTCGAGGCGCTGGACCAGGTCCTCGTAGGACTGCAAGGACAAGCAGGAAGGGTCCCTCAGGCCCTGCTCCAGTGGTAGTGATGGAAATGTTCTTGGTAGCAGGCTACCTCCTCCCTCCCAGGACCCTCACTGTTCGGGGAGGCTATGGCTAGATATCCTCCAGCCTGGCACCCCGGGGGCATGGGCAGTGGGGGTGGGCAACATGGAACATGTCTGGAACATGACCCATCAGCATGCCTGAGGGCCCAGGAACAGAGATCCTCATGGTCAAAGTGCCCTGGGCCTCCCCTGGGTGCTGCGAGGTAGCCTATGAGGGAGCCCTTGGACAAACCCGTGGGCCCTAAGGTGTAGAGACTTCCCCTGGAGATCAAGCCCTCTTTGCACACAGTGAGCAGGCCTTCAAAACATTCAAAACACAGCCCCCCCCCCGCAGGCTGACGGGGAGCAATGCCCCGTAGTTCCCGGGGAATCCTAGATCAGTTCTTTCGGTAACTGTAATTTCCCTATTTCCCCTGCTGTATTCTCAACTCTGAACAGGCAACTGCTTTGCTTCTTTCTATGGTTATCTGGGTTAGTTTTGTTTTTTTTTTTTAAGATTTTATTTATTTATTTGACATACATAGATCACAAGTAGGCAGAGAGGCAGGCAGAGAGAGAGGGGGAAGCAGGCTCCCTGCTGAGCGGAGAGTCCGATGCGGGGCTTGATCCCAGGACCCTGAGATCATGACCTGAACTGAAGGCAGAGGCTTTAACCCACTGAGCCACCTAGGAGCCCCTCTGGGTTAGTTTTAAATCTGAGCTCTGCCTCACAGTACGATGTGGGGAATAATTAATACTCCCCGGAGCCTTACTTTTCCTGAAGATAGTCTAGCCGGGGGGGTGCCAAGCGCCTGGCACCTGGGGTGGGGGGCAGCTTCTGCAGCTGTCCATGTATGTGCGTACATATGTGTGTGTCTATAGGGGTATCTTTATCTGGCCACTGTCCCAGGCCACCTCCCGGAACGGGGAGATACCCGAGTCAAAGGTGACTGACTTCTGACCTGGGCCCTGGGCTGAGGCAGAAGCCAGCCTGAGGGAAGGTGTCTGAGCACATGGCTTCTTGTGGCCACGACTCAACTGAGGAAGGTCTTCCTAGCCTGTATTCAGGGCCGTGTCTGGAGCCATGGGGAGGGCATGCATGATCCCTGTGATACCCTGGGGAAGGGGAAAGGCAAAGATGGGGAACACTGGAGAGTAGGAATCTAACGAGTCTCAGAGTTGGGAGTCCCGTGCAGCCATGTCCATCCACCGCCGAGGGTGGGTGGGGACCGCGGCCTGGGTACCATGGAAGGGAAGTGGCAGAGATGACACACACACCCAGCCTGGCCAAGCTCTGAGGTCAGGCCCCACCTGCTGCCCACGCAGCCTCCACAGAGTCCCCCAGGGGCCCTGGGGCAGACAGCAGGGGGCAGCTGGGGCTAAGCCCCCATATCCCACCTACCTCCCCCTTGGGGTACCGGTACCGGTACTTGTCCTGGTCCCGCAGGGCAAATTCCAGTGGATAATGATCTTGAATTTCTTCATAGGTCATCTCCTCACAGACACCCTAAGGAGATAGGCAAGTCGTCACATCTCCCATGCCAAGCCCGGGGATCAGCCCTGTGTCGGGGATGCGGGGGAGGGCAGGCAGAGGGGACCAGGTTCACGGGGCATTTCCTGGGCCATGGGGGCTCTCCCAGCTTGGAGCTTAGAATCCCTCTGGAAAGAGCAGACTTGTGGGGACACTGACCAAGGGGGCAGCCCCTCGTTTGTAAAGAGCTACCACAACCATCTTTTTCATCCATCCAGTTTATGCCATAAAAATAAACAGGAATGTTAACTATGTGTCTTTCCTTGTGTCTTTTGTTCTCTGTGCTGTTAAAATATGTATTCTGAATTATGGACTGTCGTACAAGCCATAAAGCAAGATTTCACTTGTATCCTTTGACATACACACACTCACACATAGTGTAGATTACCTTCTATAAATGCTATTTTTTTTTTTTAAATCCAGCAAAGAACACTGGTTGACAACACATAAGTGTGGTTTAAGGGCCCCAAGAGGGGAAGAAGCCATAAAATGTCCTAATAAAAAGTTGCTGGCCTCTGCCTTTGTTCTAAGTTGTTTTCTAGACCAAGCCTTGGGGCAAAGGTGTCTATTAAGAAGGAAAGGCCAAGAGAAAAACTTTTAGCTGTAAATGTCTGTATGGGGGGAAAAAAAAGAAGAAGAAGAAAGATCTCAAATCAATAATCTGATCTTCCACCTTAAGATACTGGAAAAAAGAAGAGCAGGCTAAAGGCAGAGCAAGCAGAAGGAAGGAAGTAATAAAGACCAGAGCAGAAAGGAACGTAACAGAAAACAGAAGAAGGGGAAAAACGATGGAAGCAGAAGTGGGTTCCTTGATAAGATGAACAGAATTCACAAACCATAGATTGACAAGAGAAAAAGCTCCAGTCACTATGATTAGGCATCACAGAGGAACAGGACTACCAAGCTTCCAGAAGGAGAAGAGACTCTAGGGGGCTATTGTGAACAACTCTGTGCCAACAGATGAGATAACTTACGTGAAATAAGAAAATTCCGAGAAAGACAAACCATCTTTGTTGAGTCAGATGTGCCCCTCCTGAAAGAGACCATCAAGTCCTAATGCATGGTACCTGTGAGCGCAACCTTATTTAGAAGTAGGGTTTTGGGGCATCTGGGTGGCTCAATCGGTTGAGTATCGGACTCTTGATTTTGGCTCAGGCCATGATATCAGGGTTGTGAGACTGAGCCCTGTGTCGGGCTCTGTGCTCAGTGCAGAGTCTGCTTGAGATTCTGTGTCTCCCCTTTCCTCTTCCCCTCCCCCAGCTCACACGTGCTCTCTCACCCTCTTTCTAAAATAAATAAAACACATTTTAAAAAAGATTTTATATATTTATTTGACAGAGAGAGAGAGAGCACAAGAGGAGGAGTGGCAGAGGGAGAGGGAGAAGCAGACTTGCCTCTGAGCAGGGAGCCTGACCCAGGGCTTGATCCCAGGACCCCAGGATCGTGACCTGAGCTGAAGGCAGATGTTTAACCAACTGAGCCACCCAGGCATCCCTAAAACAAATAAAATCTTTAAAAAAAAAAAAAAGAAAAAGAATGGGGCGCCTGGGTGGCTCAGTGGGTGAAAGCCTCTGTCTTCGGCTCAGGTCATGATCTTAGGGTCCTGGGATCAAGCCCCACATCAGGCTCTCTGCTCAGTGGAGAGCCTGCTTCCTCCTCTCTCTCTGCCTGCCTCCCTGCCTACTTGTGATTTCTGTCAAATAAATAAATAAAATCTTAAAAAAAAAAAGAAAAAGAAAGAGTTTTTTCAGATGTAACCAAGTAAATTAGGTCACCAAAGGTGGGCCCCAGTCCACTGACTAGATGTCCTTTCAAGACGACCAAGTGAAGACACAGAAAGACACACACAGGGAAGAAGGCCATGTGAGGACAGAGATTGCAGCTGTAAGTTAAGGAATGCAGAGGGCTGTTGGCAAGCACCAGATACTCGGTAAAAATATGGGCATTGAGGGGGCGCCTGGGTGGCTCAGTGGGTTAAAGCCTCTGCCTTCGGCTCAGGTCATGAACCCAGGGTCCTGGGATCAAGCCCCACATTGGGCTCTCTGCTCAGCGGGGAGCCTGCTTCCCTTCCTCTCTCTCTGCCTGCTTCTCTACCCACTTGCGATTTCTGTCTGTCAAATAAATAAATAAAATCTTAAAAAAAATATATGGGCATTGAGAGTGATTCTAGTAAAGGCTCAGATGGAAGTGAAGCATGGTAGAGAGAGCTTCTATCATCTTAGAAATACATATATCCTCAAGAGCATAATACTGATAGAAATACGAATGTTGGGGCACCTGGGAGGCTCCATCGATTAAGCAGCCAACTGGAGACTTCAGCTGAGGTCATGATCTCAGGGTCCTGGGATGGCGCCCCATACCGGGCTCCACACTCAGCAGGGAATCTGCCTGAGATTCTCTCTCTCCCTCTGCCCCACTGCCCTCACTCATGCTCTTTCTCTCTCTCTCTCAAATAAATAAATAAATCTTTTAAAAAAAGAAAAAAGAAAAAGAAATATGAATGTGAAAAGTACTTCTGGTGAGGCCTCAGAAGGAAATGGAAATGGTAATTTACTGGACACTAAAGAAAAGGCGATCTTTGTTAGAAAATGGCAGAGAGCTTGCTGAAGGATGTTCTACTGTTGGTAGGTTATAAAAAAAAAAAAGGCAAATGATAGCAAGAGTTGGTAAGGATGCAGAGAAATCACCCCCCTCCGGCACTACTGGTGGGAACGTACAAGGCTGTGGCCTGGCAGTTTTCCACAAGGTTAAATACAAAGTTTACCACGTGGGCCCGCAATTCCACTCCTCCATATACGCCCAAGAGAAAGGACAACGTGTCCACACAAAAGGCTGCACACGAATGTTCACAGCAACATCATTCCTAGGAGCTCCCAAATGCATATCCCGCAAAAGCCCGTCAGCTGAGGACCGGATATGTCGTATGGGGTACATCCGTCCAACAGGATACGGGACAACAAAATGGGATGAAGCTCGGACACTTGCTACCAAATACATGGACCTTGAAAACATGCTAAGTGAACGAAAAAAAAAACACTAAGTCACAAAAAAAAAAATTCCATAGTGTATCATTCCATTTATATAAAATATCCCCACTAGGCCAGTCCACGAAGACACAAAATAGATGAGTGGTAGCCTCTGGCTGGGGGGAGGAATTGAAAGGAAATGGAGGGATGGGGTCAGGGTTGCTTTTTGGAGCAATGCAATGTTTGAGATTAATTGCGGTTGTGGTTGCAGAGCTGTGTGACTATACTAAGAACCACTGAATTGTATGCGTTAGGTAGGTGAACCAGATGGTATGTGAATTATTTCTCAATAAAGCTGGTATTTAAAAAAAAAAGAAAGAAAGAAACAGATAAGGCCATGAATTGTGGACTGAACTAAGGAAAAAAAAAAACACCCCAGTGTTGAAACAGAAGGCTAGCCCAAGGCTGTTTACCAGAACCCAGGAAAAGAACAAAGATAAACACAGAAGAATGGTGACTAGATCACAGATATTAGGAAAACTGGAAAGATAAAGAAGAGAATCCTCCAGCATCTAGGAAAATAATCAGATTAACTACAAAGGGAAAAAAAGAAACAGCTGGGGTGGCCTAAGGCTTCTGTGTGAAGCCCAGGGTTAGAGCCTCGACTGAGTCCCTGCAGGGCGCACCCCGGCGGAAACATGGCCGCCGGCCTCCACGACTCCCAGCAGTCCCAGCTGATGGGAGCCTACAAGACGGTCAAAGGAGCTACAAGAGGGTCACAAAAAGTGCTTACCCTTTTCAAGAGCTCACCAGTTCTCCCCCAAACTCCCTCCTTCCACTCAGTAGATAAATATTTAGTGAGTACCCAACGTGTTGGACACAAGGAAGACACAGTTCCTGCCCTCACGTGACCCAGAACCCCTCCCAGGGGCCGGAAACCCGGAATGGTTCTGGACGCTTATTTTCTTCGAAGTTATCACTTTTTTCCCCTTTCCCACATGTTGGTTCCTTGCACCTGGTCCAGTTCCAACCACAGGGCAGGCTGGCATAAATAAGTGAATAAATGAGTAAAGGGCCTGCAGATCCCTCCACTCCTCTTTCTTGCTCGGCTGCTAGCCACATTCCAGGTGTCACCTTGCCATTCTAGTGTCACCTGGTAAGGTGCCACTGTGGGCATCTCTCACTGGTCTCCCTTCTCCAGCCTGTCCCCCTTCCTCACCCCCAACAACCCGTTCTCTACGCCAGCTGGGGTGACCTTTCTACAATTCAAATCTGCTCTCATTACCAGCCTGCACTTCAGGCAATGGTGGCCTCGCCTGTTTCAGAGCAGCCCTCCAGGGAGAGCAACTGGAGAAGCCAGACAGAAAAAAAAAAAAAAATTAATTTGCTTGATATTATCATAGAGCAACAAGGCGGAGAGGCTGTGAGGGGCCGAGATCTTAGAGAAAAGGGAAGCCCAAAGATAGAAACCTGGTACATGGCATCATTTCTCCCTTTGGGGTTGTGTTGCTTTGAAAGTGGCAGTTAAAAGGATGAGAAGCTGGGGGTGAGGGAGATGGGTGAAGGTGGTCCAAGGGTACAAAATTCCAGTGATAAGATAAGTAAGTCTTGGGACACCTGGGTGGCTCAGTTGGTTAAGCGTCTGCCTTCAGCTCAGGTCACAATCCCGGGATCCTGGGATTGAGTCCCGCATCAGGCTCCCTGCTAAGCTGGTCCCCCTGCTTGTTCCCTCTCTCTTTCTCTCGCTCTCTCTCACACACACACACAAATAAATAAAATCATAGATTATACATACATAAAAAAGATAAATAAGCTTTCGGGATATAATGTACATCATGGTGACTTTGTAATTAACATTTGTAATTAACATTTGTAATTAATAATTAACATTGTAATTAACAATACTTTGTCATATATTTGAAAGTTGCTGAGGGGCACCTGGGTGGCTTGGTCAGTTAAGCATCCACCTTTGGTTCAGATCATGATCCCGGGGTCTGGCATCGAGTCCCAGGATTGAGTACCGAATTGGGTTCCCCGCTCAGTGGGGAGTCTGCTTCTCCCTTTTCTCCTCCCCACCACTTGTGCTCTCTCTCTCACTTTCTCTCAAATAAATAGACAAAATCTTAAAAAAAAAAAAGAAAGAAAGTTGCTGAGAGATCGGATCTTAAAAGTTCTCACACACACATAAAAAATGAATAACTATGGCAGTTGACAGATGTTAACTTATTTTAGTCATTTCGTAATATATAACTCTACCAAATCCTCATGTTGTGCACCTAAAAGTAACATGCTGTTACATGCCAATTATATCTCAATAAAACCGTGGATGAGGAGGGGAGGAGGAGAAGCCAAACAGGAAGTAGGGACTGAGTGGACAGAAGCCTGGCCGAGCTGGCAACCATCTTGGACTGAGGGGCCAGAAACAGAAGCTTGGGCCCACAAGGTTTTCCATCAGAACCTTACAGGCCACATTCTAGGCGAAGGAGGAAGACCTGAACATTGATTGCCCTCTACAAAGATCAAAACGCAGCTTAGCAATTGCTCTATGCCTGAGTCGACTACGGTAACCCACCCCAACTGGCTGCCCAAAGTGAAAGTTAATCCTCTGGGGAGAGACAACATTCACCTGGGCCTAAATTATGTCCAGCACGGTTCATCGAAAACATCCAGCTCCCAGTCAAACATTGGGAGTGTATCCAGAATACATAAAGAACTCCTAAAAACCCCCAAGAAAGAAAAGGCAAATGATCCAGTCTGGGAAGAAAAAGAATGAAAGACCTCACAAAAGATACCCAAATGGCCAAGAAACAGACTAAAAAACTACCATAATTAAAATCATGTGATACTGTAGATCATACTTAATATAAAAGTAGATGAAATAAATCAACAGGGAAAAGATAGATGGGTGGTTATAGGTAAGTGAGTTAACTGGGGAGAGATCAGTTTTTTGTTTTTTGTGTTTTTTTGTAAACATTTTATTTATTTATTTGACAGAGAGAGATCCCAAGTAGGCAGAGAGGCAGGCAGAGAGAGAGGAGGAAGCAGGCTCTCCATGGAGCAGAGAGCCCGATGAGGGGCTCGATCCCAGGACCCTGGGATCATGACCTGAGCTGAAGGCAGAGGCTTTAACCCACTGAGCCACCCAGGCGCCCCGAGAGATCAGTTTTTAAGGCTTGTGTTGGAACACCAGAAGAAATTTTGGTTGGTCGAGATAGTTAAATTCAAAAGAAGGAAAGTGGGGAGGGGGGAAATCCAATCCCTAAAAACTGAAGGAAAGTGAAGGAGAGAGCTCCCCCAGGGCCTTGGCACAGTCACCCTGGCTGAGCTCTTTTGAGCCCAGGAGCACCAAGCAGCAGAGGGTGGGGGCAGTGAGGGTCTGTGGGGATGGTGAGCAGATGGGGATAGTGAACGCCGGGCAAGTGAGGGGCAGGGACTGCAGCGGAGGGCGGGGGCACTGGGGACACCAAGCAGCAGAAGGCGGGGGCACTGGGGGCACCGAATAGCAGAGGGTAGGGACTGGGGACACCCAGCAGCGGCAGGCAGGTGCACTGGGGGCACCGAGCAGTGGAGGGCAGGCATTGGGGGCACCCAGCAGCAGAGCGGGGGCACTGGGAGGGCAGCAAAGGGCAACTGATTACCGCGTCGATCTCGTTGAGGACCTTCCACTGCTCGTACGGCACACCCAGGGCCTCGGCTGTCTGGATGGTCCTCTTCATCTGGCTCGTCCAGACCTTTAGGTCCTTTATGTTCTGATCACGGATGAACTGGGCCAGACTTCTGGCGAACTGAAATGCATCAGAAACAAATTCAGACCCACAGGCCCAAGGCGGCCCTTCAAAGGACCACAAAGCCATAGGGCACAACAGAATCATGCCCACCCAGCCCCAGAACACAGAGAACTGACCTCCTGAGAGCACCCACACCCGCGATCGCTCTCGTTACATGTTCTCACCAGATGCTCCCAATTCCAGTTGTGAAGCATTATGCCCCTGGCCATTACCCACCTCCCAACCAGATGGCCCGACCACATGGCCTTCCCACAGAGGCCTGAGCATCTCCCCCAGACTGCAGGGCAGCCATCAGCTGCATTGCAGGGACTTGGGTCACTCCCGTAACGGCGTGCCTCTCTAAGGAAAGGAGCTCAGCTGGTGACAGCTCACATGAAGCCAAAGATCCAAGTGTGGTGCTTGGTGACTTTCCCTACGTGATAGGAACATTCCAGATTGAATGAAGGTCATCCACCTTGATTACAGATGAGCTATGAGAGCTGGAGCCAGGCCCGATGAACACATGCATACATGCACCCAGCTGCGCACGGCTCCCCCCACCACCCCCGAGCAGGCTAGTGCATGCGCACACACACATGCACTGACCTCCCTGCCCCGGGGGGACAGGCCCGGGTCCCCGCCAATCCGGCCCTTGAGGTTGAGCTCGCTTTCCCCGTGTCGGCAGAGGTAGATGGAGCGGGGTGTCACATGGATGTTCATGAGGTAGTACACGATGCGGCTCTGGATGTGGTCGGCCACGCGGTTCACCACGTAGCTCTGCCCCACGTCCATGATCTTGATGTAGGACAGATCCCTTTCCAGAGAGAAGGGCGACAGAGACGTGTGAGTGTGACTGCACCCCCGAGGCTTCAGCCTGCCAGCCACAGAGCTGTGTGCTCCGGACCACCAGGCTCGAGATCACAACACACGGGATGGGCAGTGGGTGTGCAAGTGACAGGTTGAGGAGGGGGCAACACAACATGTGGGACATCCAGACAGACCCCGTGAGAGGTGCTCAACACTTATCGTGTTTCCAAAAGGTGACATCGAAAGGGTCAGTCATACACATTGTGACTGTCACCCCAGCTCTGTGGCCCCCAGGCCCCACTTGCCTACCTCTGAGCTCTTAACGCACAGTCTGTAAGGTGAAGAAGAGAGAGTTTTTTCCAGGCCTGACCTTGGGGTAGCTGGTAAACCTTCTTCGCCTCCACTCCCCTGGCCAGCCACCCCTGGACCTGCTTCTCCTTCCCCCAGGAAGCCTGCTCCTGTACCCCAGCTCAGCCGCTCCCCTTGCTCACTCAGGCTGGGCAGCGGGGCGGCTGGGGAACACGCTCACTCGTCTGTTTATGTTTGCTGGGTGTTGGGGTGGCAGCAGGAGGAAAGACGGGGTTTCTTGGGCATCGTGCTCTGCGTTGGCCTGGGGAGGCCGTCTGAAGGTTCTTAGCTGAGTTCTCACTGTCTGGCCCGGGGGCCTGGGTTTAGGGTTAGGGTTGTTACACAAACACCAATAAAAACAGCAGCAGCAGCAGCAACTGAGAAATCCGACAGGAGCAGCTCCATCTGGCTAAGCCCCTCTCGTGCGGTTACATCACAGAACCACAAGAACCACTGTGCTGGGGTGACTGGAGAACACAAAAAACCACAGGGGCCCAGGCAGTGGGTGCCGACTGGCCTGGGCTGGCCACAGACACTCAGTGTAAAAACTGTTCTGTAAAGACGCCCAGAAATCATCTCTCTTCCAGGCGCCTGTTCCCCCTGGTTTGTACGCACGAGATGTTCTCATATGATTATACTATACAGGACCCATGCCCAGGTTTATATTCCAGACGTTCAGGTAATGCTACATAACTTACCTTGTCGCCTGTGTCTTGGCTATGATCTGTGACTATGCAATACTTTACCAGGGGCCACGGTGTTACTGACTTAACTACTGCCCCCACTAGGCTGTTACACAGAAGTTGGCAAACTATGGCCAACAAGTCAAATTCAGCCCACAGCCTGTTTTTGTAAATAAAGTTTTATTGGAATAGGAGTCATGCCCATTTATTGACATATTGTCTACGTCTCCTTTGCACTACAATGGCAGAGTTAAATAGCTCAACAGAAACTGTTTGTTCCCAAAGCCTAAAATATTTGCTACCTGACCCTTTACAGATAGAGTTTGCTACTGTAAGAGCCTTAACTGCATGCCCCTTGCGGGTCTGAAGACCCTTCCCCACCCAACACTTACTTTTTCTGGGTTTGCCATTCCAGAAGGAGCCTGTGGAGCTAACCAGCACAGGCCACTGCCAGCTGTATGTAGACAGGATCTGGGCACTCCCCCCACCCCCACCGCCTCAAAACACAGACTGTGCACTCACAGAACATGAAATGTTTGCAAATTCCCTGAGGGAAGGCCCTCCACACAGAAATTAGGCTTGATTTTATAAGAGAATAGCAGAAAATTCTTTCTTCCTTTTTTCTTCCTTTCTCCCTCCCTCCCTCCCTTCCTTTCTATTTTTTAATTTTTTTAAAAGATTTTATTTATTTATTTGACAGACAGAGATTACAAGTAGTCAGAGAGGCAGGCAGGGAGAGAGGAGGAAGCAGGCTCCCCGCTGAGCAGAAAGCCCGATGCAGGGCTCGATCCCAAGGACCCTGAGACCATGACCTGAGCCGAAGGCAGAGGCTTTAACCCACTGAGCCACCCAGGCGCCCAGGCGCCCCCCCTTCCTTTCTTTTTAGCAAGCTCTATGCCCGATACAGGGCTTGAACTTCTGACCCTGAGATCAAGAGTCGCATGGAATAACAGAAAATTCTGACTTGCTGAGCCTCACATAAGGTAATAGGGGTTCTGCAAGTCACCTCTGGCCCACAATTTCTTCTTTTTTTTTTTTTAAGATTTTATTTATTTATTTGACAGACAGAGATCACAAGTAGGCAGAGCAGCAGGCAGAGAAAGAGGGGGAAGCAGGCTCCCCGCTGAACAGAGAGCCTGATGTGGGGCTCGATCCCAGGACCCTGGGATCACGAGCTGAGCCGAAGGCAGAGGCTTAATCCACTGAGCCACCCAGGCACCCCTAGCCCACAATTTCTGCCCGAAGGGAAGAAACAAGGCTAGACCATCTCTGCCTGTTGGGGCGGCCCTTCAGCCACCACGCCGGCGAGTCACAAGGAGGCAGCCAAGCAGGACCCCCGCCCACCAGCCATCATAGCTGCAGAACACGGTGATTGCTTCACTCACCTGTCCAGGTCCTCATCCAGGGACTCGTACGAGTTCTCATAGCACTCAATGCGCCGCATGAAATCTTCCGTGGCCTCGTCACTATCGTGGTTCACGTAGTCAGGGCTGCCTAGTTTCACTTGCTGTCGGACAAGGCACAGAGCAAGGACATATGAGGGCTGGAGGCCAGGCAGGGCCAGAGACCAAGGAGGATGCTGGGCGGGGGATGAGGGGACGCTGAGCCAGAGGCCAGGACAAGGATGGGGGCATGAGGCTGGAGGCCAACCCCAGGAGACTTTTCCATTAGGAAGAGTCCAGCAGTCCCCTGGTCTTCATTCCCACACTAGTGTCGGCAGACTACTACTGGGCAGCTGAAGGTGGGAGTCCTCATCTTTGTGGCAAGCGGGAGGTGAAGCCACAGGGGCAAAGGGCCTGGAAGCCTCTTCCCAGCTGAACCATCTCCCCCAACCCAGATGTTCATTCCTTGGATAAGGAGATAGCGGACAGGGTGTAGGGGAGAGAGGTCAAATCTCTTTCTCTTTCAAAATATAAACATCGCTTCCTACCCCCCACTCCCTACATGCAGAGGCTGAAGCTCCTCTCCCACTGTCCAGGGAATGACGATGGGGAAAGGGAGGAGAAGGCAAGAGGAGGGAGCAAGAGTGCACGCTCCCCAGCTATGCGGCCCTCTACATGGGAGAGTCTCCGATCACCTGACCTGGCATTGTACGGCCTTCCCCTGCCACACCCAATGTTCAAGAAGCCCAAAGCCAGGCCAGCCTAGGCACTGGCCCAAACCCGCAGATGGATCTCGCTGTCCCACATCACCTCCGCTGCACTACGATCCCCCACAAGGTCAGAGACACCACTCACCACGATGTTAGCAGCTATGACCTCGGGGTCCACGCAGATGGACTCCACAAAAAAGGTCTACAGCAAGGACGAGGCCGGGCAGGAGGGAAGGAACCACAGACACATTCAGGGCACTGGGCCTGGCTCCACGGAGCTCCCACCTCCCTGAGGGCCAAGCTGACCCCAGGGCCCTTCTTCTGGGGTGGGGACAGGCTCGAGAAGCCCCAAACCAAACTAGGTGCCACCCTACCCAGAACCCTCCCACAAGATACCCACCTCCCTGGAAAGAAAAGCCCAGGCGGAGAGGAAACAGCAACCCCTATACCCCACATCCACCCAGAAGCCCACCTGCCTGACCCCTGCACACATCAGGAGGCTGTGACAGGGACCTGGGGGATCCAAACATGGCACAGCCCAACCGAGGAGGTGGACCAAAGATGCCTCACCTTGTAGCCATTCTGCTCCCCAAAATTAAAGATGGTCGCTCTCCGTTCTCGGGTGGTATTCGTTGCATCAAAAACCTAGGACCAAACCAGGGTTAACTTGGACTCTGGCCCCAGAGCGGGGGAGGTGGGAGGCCAGCCAATGGCAGCTACACAGGGACCATTTTTCTCACAGGGACCAGCTGGTGCCCAGGCCACCTGCCTGGCCAGTTTCTGCAGGGCCTGGGCCAGGCCTCCCCTTCCTTGAGGAACACGCCTCAAGGAAGCTGGAAGGAGTGGGTGCCTGTGCTCCCAGCAGGCACTCAGTCCATGCTTGGCCAACAGGACTTCCTGTAAAACCAGTTAAACATGGGGTGCGGAACTCCCGTTTATCGTCACTCTACCCTGAGACTCCACAAAGACGGGAAAAGAAGAAGAAAGAGAACAGGAGAGATATTAGCAGAATTTGGGGGACTAACTCAGAAAAACGGAGAAAATCAAACACAAGCCCTCGGCCAGCAGAGCACACCCACCTGTATGGAACAGGGAGCATCAGGAAAGGGACCCAGGTGTCTCCGAGAAAAGGGACAAGTGTGTAGTGGAAACAGGTGGACTGCCTGGTGGTGAAACCAAGAGCAGGTGGAGCCCCAGGCCCTCTCCCTGCCTTGTCCAGACAGGCTGACCCATCTGGGCCTCCTGTGAACTGCTGGGGCCTGTCCATGTGCCCTCAGGAGTGACCCATTCACTTGCATGTCTAAAACCAGGTTTTAAGGCATCTTTTTTTTTTTTTAATATTTTACTTATTTATTTGTCAGAGAGAGAGAGAGAAGGTGAGCACAAGCAGGGAGAGTGTCAGGCAGGGGAAGAAGCAGGCTCCCCACAGAGCAAGGAGCCTGATATCGGGCTCGATCCCAGGACCCCGGGATTATGATCTGAGCCAAAAGTAGACACACCCAACCAACTGAGCCACAGGGTGTCCCGAGCATCACTTTTTTAAGAGGGCATTCAACCAGGGCTCATGGGATGCTCCAGCAAAACCTCAACGTGAAAACCAGAGACTGCATAGAAAAGAATAAAAGGAACTGTGAGGAAATGAAGATGGGACAGGGAACAGAAAGAAATGTCAAAAAAACAAAACAAAACAAAAAAACCCTTACAACTATTATCTAAAGAGAGATACAAAATACTGTAAGAACCCTGAAACAGAAATAGAGTTCTAAAAAACTGGAACACTCAAAGATAAGAAATGTAGAATTTAGAGATTAAAATATGGTCACAGAAATTCCTTAAAAATTCAACTGGATGCTTGTACAGTAATGTTGAGAAAGTCTCCCTGAAAATAGAACACAAGTTACAGAGATAGGAAATCGGGAGAGAAAAAAAAGATAACTGGGGCTCAGGTCCAGCATGAAACCATCAGGAGTTCTCAAAAAAGCAGCTCAGAAAATTGGGAGTGGAGCAGAGAATCAACCGTCAGAAACTGGTGGGGGTGGTTTATTAAAGCATTAAATTTATTAAAGTTATTAAAGACATTTTCCCTGACCTGTTAGAAAAGAGTTTCGCATTAGAAAGGGTGGCCCTGGGGGGCACCTGGATGGCTCAGTGGGTAAAGCCTCTGCCTTTGACTCAGGTCATGATCTCAGGGTCCTGGGAGCCCCCAACAGGCTCTGCTCAGCAGGGAGCCTGCTTCCCCCTCTCTCTCTGCCTGCCTCTGCCTACTTGTGATCTCTCTCTCTCTGTCAAATAAATAAGTAAAATCTTTAAAAAAAAAAGAAAAGAAAAGAAAAGAAAGGGTGGCCCTGGGACCCAGCACAATGGAGAAGACCCACCACAAGGCCGTCAAGTTCTCCCCAGAGAAAAGGGCATGAACAGCCCCAAGAGAGGAAACTTTTGGGAAGATCAGCAAATCAGAACGCCATCAGGCTTTTCCACAGTACTCTAGAAGCCATACTACAACAGAGCGATGTTGTGGAAATTCTAAAGGAAAAATATTTCCCACCTAAACCCAACCATCAGATAGTTGGATGAAAAGCCATTGCCAGACACATAAGATCTCATGCAAGGTAATTCCCAAGTACCTTCCTTGGGAAGCTACTGCAGGATGAGCTCCAACAAAACAAGTCAGTAAATCAAGGAAAAAGAAGACACGGAGGCCAAGAGCAGGGCTTCAACTGGGGAGCCAGGACAAGGGAACTCCTGAGACCAAGAAGGGGACTGAGTCAGGTGGAGCTGGGAGATTAAGAGCTGCAGGAACCACACCTCCAAGAGGAAAAAGGAAGGAAAAAGCAGCTCCTGTGTTCTATTGCATAGGGTGAGGAGAGGGGCCTTTCCCATAGACACCCAGGCTCAACCTGGCCCTGCCCATCCATCTGACGGGAGGCGCTAGCACATTGTTGGAATTCCATTACCCAGGATTCAGCAGGTTCCAGGAACAGCCACTAAATGCACGGCAGGATTCTCTCCAGCCCAGCAGAAATCACACTTGTTCAAGACTTAGGTAACACGATAACCACATGTGGTAACCAACAATGTGAGTATCCAGAAGGAAGACCTACTAGGTCAAATGCAACCACAAGTCCAGAGGGAAATTCCCAGCACACATCCAGCCTCTGACTTCCTTCTGTATGGTGACTGTAGACTTCCTCCCAGGGCCTGGCACCCAGGGGCCGCTGCAGCCACAAACACCCTCCCTCCCTGCCAGGCACCTGACAAGCAAAAGGGTGGATGTAGCTAGGCTTCCCACATGTCACTCCCAAAAGACACCGGGATGTCCCACTCACCGCCACATGGCCTCCCTCCTCACTGAGGAACCGCCGGACGTCACGGAGGGCTGCCAGCGCACACTGCCTTCAGAAGAGAAAACAGGGTCAGCCCCACACCCGACCCTGGAGGCAGGAGGGCCACAGGGCCACAGTTCAGAGACACATCCTACCCTGACCAGGGAGGGTCCAGTCCCTGGGGCCCCTACCCTTCTCAAGGTCGCTTTCTCCTTGAGGTCCTTTTAGTACTTTTGCTAACTCTGCTCCTATAACCCGAAGGCTATGTGCTCCTGGCCACGGGGGATATATATATATTTTTAAGATTTAATGAATTTGACAGAGAGAGAGAGAGAGAGAGAGAGCACAAGCAGGGGGAGCAGCAGGCAGAGGGAGACCGAGAGGCAGAGGGAAAAGCAGGCTCCCAGCTGAACAGGCAGCCCAATGCGGGACTCGATCCCAGGACTCAGGGATCATGACCTGAGCTGGAGGCAGATGCTTAATCGACTGAGCCACCCAGGCACCCGCAAAATAAGCACTTTTAAAACCAGATGGTTCCTTGTGTGTGAGTGCTGGGGGCTGGTGGTAGGAGAGAAAAGACACTGTTGCTGGCCCCCAGGGCGACATTATACTTAATATTCCATTTGCTTTCCTGGAAGAGCGAATATGTGAAACTCTTATGGAGGAGCTTGCTGTGTCTCTGCCTCTTGCACCTACGTCCACGAACCCTCTGGAAGATGAAATCTTCCCCATGACTAACCATCAACTATATCGCCTTCAGAACACCTCAGCCTTTTGGTTTATTGCTGCAAAATGGGCTGTCATACGTAAGGTCTTCCTCATACTATCCTTTTCTCCTCTAATGTCTGGAGACAGGCAGGTCACTCGAGCCTTTTATCTATTACCTGCACTTTTTTTTCCCAAAGATTTTATTTATTTATTTGACAGAGAGAGAGAGAGCACAAGTAGGCAGAGAGGCAGGCAGAGAGGTGGGGGGAAGCAGGCTCCCTGCTAAGCAGAGAGCCCGATACGGGGCTCGATCCCAGGACCCTGGGACCATGACCTGATCCGAAGGCAGACACTTAACCATATGAGCCAACCAGGCGCCCCTACCTGCACTTTCTTGATACAAGAGTAAAGTTAGAAAGTTAGATGTTCTTCCGTTTGTTTGATCTTCGGATTTGGTACACAAACCTGCAGCATATCCAAGGACGGAGCTGTGGGGCCTTTCACCAGCTGGAGGCACAGGCCAGGCAGAGCAGGGGGCCGGCCGCTGGGGTCAGGGGCAAATTGGTGGCACAGCTGAGTCCAGGTCCCCAGAAGCCGTTCTGCTCCTATGCCTCTTTGTGACCTTTTTGCACCCCAGCGGGTCTTTTGGTTAAAACTTTAAAGAGCTTTCTTCTGGGGCACGTGGGTGGCTCAGTGGGTTAAGCCTCTGCTTTTGGCTCGGGTCATGGTCTCAGTGTCCTGGGATCGAGCCCCACATCAGGCTCTCGGCTCAGCGGGGAACCTGTTTCCCCTTCTCCCTCTGCCTGCCTCTCTGCCTATTTGTGATCTCTCTCTCTCTCTGTCAAATAAATAAATAAAATCTTTAAAAAAAACAAAAGAGCTTTCTTCTGCCAAGAAAAACCCTGAATTCTGAGAGTCTGGGCAACACATTGCTGGAGCCATTTCTGGCCAGCTGTGCGAATGCCCTGGATCCTGGACTAAGATTGGCGGTTGCTCTGGCTGAGGCAACACCAGGTGAGGGGGATCTCGGGGCTCCAGTGGGAGAGACGTGGGACCAGCAGCCAGGGAGCCCGAGCGTATGGGGGTGTGGGTGTGAAGCGGGGATGGTCTTGTGGGACTGAGCCCTTCCCGTGTGCAGACTGATGCTAACTCCAGGTGCACTGTGTCAGGACAGACCTGAATAGGATTGTTAGATGCACATGCATGTGCCCACGGGCATATGTGCACGCGGGCTCATGTGTGGTAGAAGACTAAGTGCGCCCGATGGCGCGTGTGTTCACGTGACCTGCATGTGCACACGTGACCTTGCATGCCCTTCCCTGGACCTTCCATGGTGCCCGGTGTCAGGGACAGACATCAACGTTGTGTAGCCCCAGGGACCTCAACAACGTGTTGAGGTCACCCAGGCCTCTGGGCAATCTATAGTCTTCCCTTCTCAGGCTTCCCATTTTAAAAAGTCTGATCCTTCTGTGTTGCCATTTACCTGTGGGCATTTTGGGCTGGTTATTGGGAAACGGTCCTGAAGCCCAGGGGCCAGAGCTAGCCTTCAGATCCAGGAGGGAGGGTTTCCAGGAATAGCCAGAGGGCCTGCTTCTCCCACTGGGGCCTCTGTTCCATCTGGGCCATCCTAGCCTAGCTCCCCAACCTCTCCAAGTCGGCGTTTCCCCCTCTGAGTTAATCCCAATACTCCTATCTTCGGGAGGACTGAGCAGAATTACTGGTGGGCCCTGGCAGGGCCAGCTCCCTTATTCTTCCCACAGACACTCTGGATTTAGACAGGCCTGGCTTCAGATTCAAACCCTGCGTGATCCCAAGCAACACCATCGCTTTCAGACCATGCCTCCCCATCTGGGGGAGTGAGGTGACACCACTGGCCCCCACGTAGGAGAGGACAAACCGGCTAGTGAGTGCCCACAGCTTGAAGTTGTTGCAGAATTGGCACTGGATACAACCTCTGACCTACTAACTGGGTAACACTAGAAAGATGGACACGGAAGTCTTTGGTGGTATGGGCTTAGATTCAAGTCCGGGCTCTGGGCAGAAACATGTTATCTCGTGTGAGACTCCTGAGCCTCAGTTTCCTCACCTGTAAAATGGGCAGGAGTGACAATGGGCAGCATGCACCCAACACACAGCGGGAGTGCAAATACCAGTCCCCTCCCTTATGTCTGGGTCACAGAGAGTCCGCCCCCAGTTTCACCCACAATTGGGACACAGGCCTGAACGACAGACTCCCCTTCCCCTTTCTTGGTGCTGCTGCACCATGGCCACGCCCCACAGTGGGGAGCTCTTGCCCCCTGGTGGCCAGAGACGGAGCAGGCAGCCTAGTATCCAGGCCTAGGCGACAAATGCAGAGCTTCTGGCCTGGAGCTCTGCTCGATTTGGGGAGGTCACTAGAGCTGGGCCAGCCTCTGCTAAATGCCCTAGCACAATGGCCGAACCCCAAGCAAGGGTAAGGAGACTTCTAGATCCCTCAGCTGGCACCTGCCAAAAAGAGCACAGATCCCCAGACCACCAGTTGGTGTTCTTGGTTCGAGTCTGAAAGGGGCAGGGAGGGGAGGAGGTAGGGTATTGTCTGCAAATTCCCATCTCATGAATGAGAACAGGAGGGTGAAGTCTGAGCCACTTGAAAGCAAAGCCGAGGCCTGTCCTACACATGCCAAGAACATGCTAAGCAAGTGCCAAACATCCTCCAAATACACAGTTTATCAAGGAAAGGGTAGGAAGGGTGCGGTACTGGGCCCAATCCTTCCCACTCTGTGCCAGAAGGTGGTCCCTGTCCCACTCTGCCCCATCCCGGAGGCCTGTGTCCCCGCACCCATTCAGGCTCCCCTCCTTACCAGAGGCCATGCCGGTGGAGGGCCTGGGGTAAGCAAGTGAGAGGTCTCTGCAGCAGGCCTATGACCTGTCCTAGGTCTCCTCAATCTCTGAAGCCCCATCTTCCCCTCCCATAGGATGTCCTTACTAAGGGTTCATAAATCCCAGGGAGGGCCAGCCGCCAAGGTGCCACCCAGGGGCACCTGGGTGGCTCAGTAGGTTAAGGGTTGGCCTTTGACTCAGGTCATGATCTTAGAGTCCTGGGATCGAGGCCCACGTGCAGCTCCTTGCTCAGCAGGGAGTCTGCTGCTCCTTCTCCCTCTGCCCCTCCCCACTGTCCATGTTCTCTCTTCTCTCTGTCTCAAATAAAATAAAATCTTAAAAAAAAAAGAGGCCCTATACCCTCGCCTATTGTCCCCATATCCCCAACCCCACCACACTCTGAGAGATCAGAAGACCAACCCTGTCATAGCCCAGTGGGGCAGAGCAAGGCCAGGGCTCAGGAGCAGCTGGGCATCTGGGCTCCAAGGTCTTCTCTGTTAACACACATAATTAAACACGTACACACTCACTTCCTGATCTTCAGGCCCTCTTCGTTGTCTGGAAGGAAAAACTCAAAAGACTTGTACGTCTTAACCATGTCCCGGCGATACTGGCCAACGTTGAATTCTGGGGGAAAGAAAGGCTCAGCTTTCACACAGCAGCAGCCCTCCCCAGTTCTTGACCTTGACCCACCCCAGGCCAGCCTTCTCTCTTCCCCTCCCCTCCCCCACAAAGCCGCCAGGCCCCCTTGGAATCCCAGGCCAAGTCTCACCTCGGGTGGGCACACCAATCCAGTTCAGGTAGCGAGTCAGCTTCTTAGAGATGTAGGTCTTGCCCCGGGCGGGCAGGCCGACCATGACAATGAGCGTTGGGCAGTTGGTCATGCAAACTGAAAGGCAAGGAGGTGGTGTCAGATAAGGGCTGGGACACCTCCCAGTGGGCCCCTCCCTCTGCTCCTGCCACAGGACCTCAGATGGGCCTGCCAGGCCTCCTGGCCTTAAGACCCTGGTGTCAGCCACTGCTGGCATAACCCTGCTGCCCAGGCCTGCCTGGGCTCCAGAAGCTGCGGCAGAATCTCCTCAGCCCCTTATCCTGATGGGTACTGCGGATATAAAGCTGGACCTGCCCCGCCCCTGAATGAACAGGCAGAAAGAGCCAAAGCCCAGGAGACAGTCAATGCCCACCTGTCATCCCGGAACCCACACCCAGCTGCAAAGAACCTTTTCAGCATTCCTGCCAGCACAGTTCCACTGCTTATCCTCCCCGCTGGGAATTTTGCCTCATCTGGTACAAAGCCCGGCTCAAAAGCTGCTTCTTCAGGGAGCCCTGCCTCTTAGCCACCTCCATGGTACCCCGGCACACTGCCTCAATCCTGGTCACCCCACCCATGGGTCTGCCCCCTGCACCTGACTACTTGGAGAGAGAGCAGCCCTGCAGCACCGGAGCCGTTCAGGATCACACAGTCTGGCACAGAGTTGCTGCTCAAAAACTATGGGGCGAAGAGGGGGGGAGCGGCATCTTGAAATTCCCCAGGGTTAGTGCCACGAGGCTGAGAGCAGAGACCCAGACCAATGTCCACAAGGACTGTCGCTTGCACAGCCCACCCGCCACCATCCCATGTGCCGCCAGGTCAGTGCGCCCCCCCGGAGAAGTTGCCGAGGCCAGAGGCGGGGACGGGTCTGGACACAGCATCCCCAAACCCTGGCCCACTGGGACAGACACCAGGACAGTAGAACTACCAGCCTCACGTGATCCGGCTCAGCTTTCAGTGTGGCCTCACCACAGAAACCTTAGAAAGCTTCCCTTTCACCGTCCCCAGCACCTAGGCCATGTGAAACCACAGCAGACAGACAGGTGGCCCATGTGGGGACCTGTCACTGTCCCTCTTTTGCCCCCAGGGCTCTACAAATGGCGTCTCCTGGTAACCCTTCTTGGACAGCTTGCTGGGCCCTACCCCTCACTGGAATTGGAGCACAGAGGCCCCAGGGGCAGCCCCATTTGGGGCTCAGGAGTCAGGTCTGGGTTCCCATCTGGACTCTTGACAATGACTGGCAACTCTGAGCCTTGGTGTCCTCACCTGTCAAATGGGATGAGAATCCCTCAGTGAGGCCCCGCACTATCTCCAGGTAAAAGCCAGAGTGTGTCTGGGTAGCCAGAGCCACCTGCCCCACACTGAGATGCAGGGGCACCTCGGCATCCACTGTCCTTGGGACCTGGGGGGCAGAGGCATCTGTCCGTCTCCAGGCAGGTCCCACAGCGAACCAAAGGGCCCTGCTTGCCAGTGGGGGCTGCAGTGCTCCTGGACTGGACGTGACCTTTGGACAGATGTGACCCAAACCTTAAGCCTCAGGGGAGGGAAGGACAGGATCTCACAGAATACAGGCTGACAGTGAGCAAGCAGGAACTTGCAGAAAAACCTCAGCATTGGCTAAGGTGAGAGAAAAGCAAGTTAAGCAAGGCCCTGCGTCCTGAGGGCCAGTGACACTGGGGCCTGTGCTGTTTGTATAACTGCTGGCCAGGGCTTGCAAGCAAGCCAAGGGCAGTGAGTCGGCCCCTAAGCACAGGGTGGTGGGGGGAGCCTGCACACCCAGACTGCTTCCCTCCTTCCCAATGCTCCCTGAAGGGCTCTCCCAGGCCTTCAGGAGTGGGGTTCTACACCCCCTCTTCACATCTCCTATCTTCCCAGAGACAGCCCTGGCCTCCTCCCCCAGTGTGTGGCGACAGGATCCCCTCCCCGGCCCCATGCACGGCCACCTGCAGAAGGCGGGCAGGGCGGTCTACCAGGGCTGGGAGCAAAAGCAATAAATTACCTATCAACACTGTTCCTCAAGATAAGCTCCCAAGGAACTGACCCAAAGAAAGCTCAAAGTACACGTGTATTTGCAATAGCTCTGCTTACAACAGCAAAACATAAGCAAGCTAGCAGAAAAGGAATTACAAACCGAGGCCCACAAGAGGGAACACACTACCGGGCCTGAACAGAGAACATAAGCACCAGGGGAGCTGGGGTTCTGGGCCTCTCGAGAGCCTCAGCACTGGGCAATTAGACAGCAGAACATGAGGCTTATGTGCCCAAGGAGATCTGCAGACATGTCCAATCAACTTACCTCACTGGTTCCTTCTCCTATAAATTTGCTTAGGGCCACAAGAGCCCTAGGAATCAAGGGGCCTGAGACAAGGCTGGTGCTATCCTGTGATGACTTTCTGGTGGACCACCTCAGGGGCCGCCACAAGCCCTAAAGAAGGTTCCAGAACTGCACCTGCTCCTGAGCATGTCTTCTTGGGCCAAGCTGGGGAAGGGAGAACTCTTTAAAAGAAAGCAATCTGGCAGACTGTCTTGTTCAGAGGGGACAGAAAGTCATCTCCCTTGTCCTGTGCCCATTCCAGTCATGTCCTTAGCCAAGAAGTTCTTGCTACCTTATTGCCAATAAAAGCTATCTCAAGTGCCATTCTTTCTGGCATGCTCTGAGTCCTTTCTTCAGCCCCTGCCCCACCTGCCCCCAGTGCTCCTCCAGGGCTGAGCTGAGGGGTCAGTGATGAAGAAAGGTAACAGGTTCCACGCCCTCATGTGAAGCCTGAATTTCCCCAAAGGAAAAAGAATTGCTAACGGAGAGTAGGGGTAGAAGAGGCACAGCCAAGCAGTCTCTGGTGCCCTCAGAGGCCAGGGACTAGGCACCCAAAGGTAACCCACTGCACAGCACAGACCAGCCATGGGCCTCTACAGCCTCTTCTCTATACAGCCTCTGATCAGGTCAACTTCCACCCATCCCCCACCCGTCCTTGGGGTCTTCCACCAAGTTATAAATTACTACGCAGGGGGTAAAATGCTACATGGCTACATGCACAGGCTCTGGGGACTGTGGGTGCTGCCCAGACAGGTTCCATGTTCACTCATGGCTTACTCTCCGCTGTGAACTCGGGGACCTTCGCCGGGGGCCCAAATCCCCATACAATCTGTAGGTCTCATCTTTGGTTTCTTGGGTGCCTCCTCCTCCAGGAAGCCCTCCTGTGCTAGGCCAGTCCAGAATCTCACCTACTGTAACAGCCTGAGACAGGGCCACACACAAGACCCTGTGCTTAGGCCAGAGCCGTATTTTCACCGCATCCTTGGAGCTTGGAGAAACACAGGCCCCTCCCCACTGAGCCTCAGCATCTTTGCCATCTGGAATGGGGGTTGGCTCACAGCTGATGCTTCAGTTCCCGACTCTGAGGTACTGAGAAGCAAAGAAGGGTGGTGACGAAATGACAGCATCACCTGCCACCACTTATCAAGCATCTCCCCTCAAAGAGGATCACAGCAGCTCCTGGGGGCAGGGACGATGACTGTCTCCATCCCACAGATGAGGAACCCGTGGCCTAGCAAGAATATCAGCTCCTTGCCCAAGGTCACACAGCTGAGCAACAATGTGGCTCTTCAAAGCCCAGGTTCTGACTTCTTGCCCTTTATATAATAACAGTGGCCACCCCCTCATTAGGACAACACAGACTGGCTACAAGCACAAGGGCAAGGGGCCTTGGCCTTGGTCCCTCCACAGAAAAGTCTGGAAGGAGGGCTGGCTAGGCACTCACTATTGCCTCTCAGGACCAAGTATTGATTGGAAAGCCATGGCCCCAGGCCTAAGAGCCTGATCATCACCTAAGAATCCTACCAAGACCTAGATCATGGTCAGAGCCATGACCCACCAGAATGCCCAGTCAAAACCACGGCCACCCCCCCTAACAGGACCCGGTGTAGTAAGAGACACACAGCCCACCCATAGGACTTACATCTTGGTCAAAGCCAAGGCTTCCAGGCTGGCCTCAAAGCCAAACAAGAACAGAGCACTCTCCCCTCCCTTATCATGCCCAAGCAGAGGTCAAGGAATACAGAGAGACCTTAGCACATGGCACAATCTCCTGATCTCCATTTCTGTATCTGTACCCAAGTTGGACGAGATGTTCTCTGAGGTCCTTGCCAACTTGTAAATTCATTATAATGTTTGCTACTCCTAAAAAAACAAACAAAAAACCCCTTCGTTTTTCTTGGCAATAAGAGGTTGCAGACTCATTTAAGGACAAGCAGAAAGTCAAGTAAAGTGGATTAGACATCGGGATCCCAGGAAAGGTGAGCCCCTTAACAATCCCACGAATGTCAGCAAGTCTCCTGGACGTTTCCCCCTCTAACTTTACCATTCCCCCACAACCCCGCGGGGTGCACATACCCCATGGACACAAAGACAGGTTTATATGAGACAGTGTTCCCACCTTCTTCATCCTCAACACAACTGCACTTCCCTGAACTTCTTCCCAAAGCTTGGTTTCAGCCCCAGAGGTGGGTAGTTAAGGCCAAGGGGCCACCTTCCTCTCACTGGAGGACTGGCCCACCTTTGGGCCTCTGAGAGTTCTGGGCTCAGAGAGGTCAAGCGATTTCCATAAGGCCAACATAGCTCAGACACCGTCCACGCTCTCTGGCCTGAAGTGAATGGTAGGGGGAGGTTCCGAATCCTCCCCAGGCCTGACTTGGTGGATAGAGACTCGGGTGAGAGCAGGCCGGCGCCTCCTGGAGGTGATGGTAGCCAGACCTAGTCCTTAGCGAGGGGAGACAGGGCCACACATCTGCCTCCGCCCCCTGCTCTGCCACACCTGTGCCCGGCTCTCGACCAGTTCCTGCTCCCCTACCATCAGTCACGGCAGCTTCACCTGTCCCCGGTTCCCCACCTGTTCCTGGCCCAGGCCGCCTGATCCACCCATCCCCGGGCACCACCCTGCCCTTCTCCACGGAGCCCGCCTCACCACGGCGCTGGCAGGCGTGCAGAGCGGGCCGCCCATTGCTGTACGGCATCCAGATCTTCTTCAAGGGGTTCTGGGTCAATTCCCGTGGGGACGCCATACCTTGGACGTGATGAGTCGGACTGGGCGGCTTCCGACCCAGCAGCGGGCCACCTCGGGCCACCCGAGGCCGCGCCCCTCGGCCCCGCCCCTCCTCCAGCAGCCGAGACGCCGCTCCAACTCCCGGCAGGCCCCGCCCCAGAACGAGTAGGCCCTACCCCAACAGAGGGCCCGGCCTCCGACCACGCATGCCCAATCGCCTACCAGCAGGTTTTGTACCCGGCAGGCCCGCCCTTCACGCGGGGATCGAGGACGCGCATGCCCAGCTCCCCACAGGTTCAAGGCCGGGATGGTGCCGAACCTGCCCCGGATGCAGGAGCCCAGCACGCCCACCCGGACCGCGCAGACTTGCATCGGCCTCATCCACCACCTTGCCTTGCACAGCCTTGCCCCCAGGCACCCGGGTTCCTCTCACTGCTACCACTGATCTGGGGCGGGGGTGGGTGGGGGCGGCCAGGAGGGAGGGATCTGCATGCCAAGGAGCTGCCCCTGCTTGACCCGCAGGTCTCAGTTGGTCAGGACCAGTCTGGTGGCCCCTGCGTTATGCCAGTTTCAACCACCGCGCCCCTGAGCCGGGCGTCCCGACCCTCTCTAGAGCCCCAGGACTCTTCTTCGCCCACTGGAGTGACCGGCTCAACCACGCCAGAAAATCTTTTACCTCATGGACAGGGACATCTCAAAATTGTTTCCTCTCTTTACCTTGGCCGCTGGGGAACTCAGGCTAAACTCCAGCCCACCAGGAACACGTGAGCAGGACCTTTTAACCAAGCTTCCTGGGGACTCCTTGAGCTCTGGCACTATCTTACTTCTTACAGGATTTCATTTTTACCAATTAAATTGTAAATTGTAAATTTGCATATTTTAAAATTAGGAAAATAGAATGTGGACATCATTGACCTGACAGGATTCTGGTATAGATTAAAATGTGTCAGTGTCTGAGAAATCCATTCTGAAGCACATTAGTGATATCATTTATATTACTTATCTCTCTCCTGTCTCTAAGAATGCAGTGGAAGCAAAGGGCAGGGGAGAAATCCTGAAGTTCAGGAACCCTGGGTCATTGTCCTTTGTCTCCTCAGCCCAGCTTCTCCCAAGTTCTGTACACTGTCCTGGGGCCTCACTGACCCTGCTCAAACCTGCCTAGAGGTTTGATGTCCTCCACAAAAGCCCCAGACAGGATCATGGCACCCTCAGGTTCTCTCTGCCCAAAGTGTGTCCAGCCAGGAGCCAGGGCTAGGGTCACGGAGAAGAAGGCTCCAACCAGCGCACCCCAGGTGTGGCACCCCCTCCTTCTGACCTCCCTGCCACACACTTGTCTCCACCCAGCACTTCAGAGCCTGGCAAGGACCCTTCAGATAATTCTGATACAGATGTCTTGCCTCCTTCACAGGAGATGAAGTTTCAGGAGGCAGAAGCCCACCTAGACCCTCCCTGAAACCAGCTCTAGCCCCCTACCCCGGGAGGAATGCCCTGCCCCAGTCAGAGCTGAGCACTTCCTCCTTCATCCTTCCTCTGCTGTGTTCAACGCACCGCAGCCCACCCCCCACCCACGAAGAGACAGCTCCGAGCACATCCGTGGGCAGGTCCTGATGAGCAGGACTTGAGACAACCCGCCCACTTTCCTACTTCTCCAAAGCCACTCAGGCTTTGACACAGGCAGCCTTGCTGTCTGTCTCCTAGCTATTGCCAAGGCCATCTTGGGGCCACCTTGACCTCACAGACCTTGTCACCACCCACCCACACCCTGTCCAACCCCCGGCACTTATTGCAAAAGCTACATGCTCTACCATCCACAGACAACCAGCACTTCCTCCGGCCCGCCCATTCTCCTCCTCAGCCCTCCTGGGATGTTAGTCAAAGTCTGGAGGTAGGGGATAGCCAGAGCAGGGCAGGATGCCAGGGTCATTTCGAGGAAACTGTCCCCACACCCAGACAGTCCGAGCTGAGCCTCCCAGGAAGAGGGCGGCTCTGTACCTCCACTCTTCCCCAAACAGTCTGACCCTGGGCTGACCCAAACACACCTTCCCAAGTCCCCATATCCAGTGGAAGGCCAAAGGTTACCAGCAGGAGAAGCGTGGGGCTCCTCCCCAAGGCCAGAGTCTACCTCTGCTCTAAGAATATTCTTCATCTCCCTGCCCATTTCTCAAGTAGGAAACTGAGGGAGGGGAGAAGGACCCAGGGTCACAGAGCCAGCCCACAGTGCAGGATGGACTCAGATGAACTCCCAGCCCTTCAAAACCTCATCTCCCATATCTTCCATGTCACCACATTTCCCACCCCTACGCCTGGGCTCTGGTTTATTCCCTCCAGGGCTCTCTTGGCTTTCTGCTTCCCCAGCATCAGTAGATGCCCAATAGAACAGCCAGCCTTTATGGCTTTCCCCTCCTTGGGGCATCCCAAAGTGATGTGGTGGAAAGTGTACTAGGGTGTCAGCAGGCACTGGTGTGTGACGATGGGCTCAGCCTCCCTGCTCCTCCATGAAGCTGTCTGGCCTGCCCGTGGTTAGCTCCAGTGGTGCCCTCTGCAGTGACCTCTGGACCTCTCTCCAGTGTCACTGGCTACAAGCTCTAGGGTGGCTGAAGTCCTAGATCCTCAGTTCTCACTGCTCAAACTCTTCCCCATCCCTGTATCTGCTGGTCAGTCCTGGCCAGACTTTGCAGCATAAAGGCCCAGGGGCCTCAGTGAATGCCACACAGACCCACGTGTGTGGAAGCATGGAAGCATGCACACAGAGCCCAACGTGCACGCACACTAACAACCCGCGCACTGACAACTCAGGCCTGCACAGAGACAGGCAGGCTGCAGGGGCCTGCTGCTCTCTACTGCCTCCCTTCCCTTTGATTTCCCTCCTCCTCTCCCCTCTGCTGCCACTGGGAGGTTCAGGGAATTCCCAGGAGCTCCAGCTTCCTCTGGCCACTTCAAGCCAAGGATCATCCCTGGTATCTCCCTGGGCCCAGAGCTCATGGGGGTTGGGGGTGAGGTTCCAATTTGGCGGTATGGAGCCATGCAACTGAGCAGCCTGTGAACCGTGGCCCGCTTGGTCTGACTTGCTGATTCCAGCTTGGCACAGAGCACACAGTAGGTGCCCAGAGTGACTCAGGGCCAGCCGAGGCACACAGTAAGGGCTCAGAGAGGTTCATGACCAGGGCAGAGCACAGAGTGGGTGCTTAGAGCAGTCAGGATCCACACAAGGCACACAGTAGGTGCCCTAGAAATTCTGGTTCAAGGGCTAAAGCCACTTCATATGAAAAATTTCCCAAATGAGCCTCTGGGCCTCCCCAGGATGATGTGTGACCCCTCAGGGAGACCTGGACAAACATGACCCCTTGGAGGCCAGCAAAGGGCAGAGCAGGAGGGCCGCAGGCAGCTCCAGCTGGCTGTCCCTCTCTCTGGGCTGGAGGGGGAAGCTATTTATAGTTCCCCCTTGACCCAGCTCCCCCCACTCCCCTGAAAGGCGACGGTGTTCCCCCTCCTCCTTGCCACTGACAGGCTGATGCCCCCTCAAAGCACCCCTACACCTAGAGAGACCCCCCAACACCCTCGCACCTCTTCCAGCAACACCCCACTGCGCCCTGGTCTTTCCCCCAATCCCCTCCACCGGCTCCCCGCCGCCCATGCCTACCCTGCCTGCTGCTCCCTGACCCGGGGTCCGTCAGGGCGCTGCCTCCCTCCTCGCCTCTGTCCATCCTGCAAGCGAACTGGCCCTGGGCCGCCGCCCCCTGCAGCCTGGAGCCGGGCAGCCCCGCCCTCCGGGCGCGGAGGGAGCTGCGGTGTGCCCCGTGTGGCCCCGCCTTCCCAGCCCCGCCCCCGGCCCGCCCCACAGGGCCTCACAACTTGAGAGATCAACAGTGCCCCCAGCCCAGGCAGCCGTGCTCCCGCACTGTGTGGCCTCCCTCTACAGCCGGAGCAGTCCTTACTGCCCAGGGTCTGCCCTTGTCTCCAGCCAGAGCTGTCCACACTACCTACAGTTTCTGCCCCATCTGCAGGCAAGCCTGTCCACACCGTTCAGAAGGTCTGTCCCATCTCCAGCCCCACAATGGAGCTGGTGGTGTGAGATTAGAGAAAACCTATTCCTTCCACACCTAGGGGACCAGGTCGGTGAAATGGGGCGGGGGTGGGGAGAGTAGGCAGAGGGGCAGCGTAGCCAGCAGTGACTCAGCCCTTGACTGTCCCTGCCTGGGTGCACACGACCATGATCCTCATTCATCCCATTCTCCAGGCATGACGTTTATTGAGCTCTTTCCTGCATGCCAGAACCTTCACGTATACCGTCACCAGGTGCTCACGAGAAGCCACTGGCATCACTCTGCTCTCCAGAGGAGGAAGCTGAGGCTTGGAAAGACGAGCACCTTTGCTCCGGACAGTTGGATGAGGGAGGCGCAGAGCTGGCCGTCCCAGTGCAGGCTGGAGTCCCAGCAGCCTGAGCCACGTGTGTCCAAGGGCCACAGCTGGGTGTGCAGTCATGTGGGTGGGATAGTGCCTGGCTGTGCGTTGAGTGTGCTTCAGGACAAGCCCCTGTTCCTCACATGCCCTCACCTTGCCCACACACAGTCACAGTTGTCAGAGCCGCAGAGAAGCAGTCATCCATGCACGCATACACCTGCCACAGGGCAAGGCTGCCCCCGCCACAGTCTTCCTGCATTTGGCCACCTGTGTCTGGAGATGCCCCTGACGGGCCCTTCATCTGAGATGGGTGCTGCCTCCGGGAGCAGGAGACATGTGTGTGACCCTCCACTGGCACCTCCCTGTGTGGTGACCTGTGGGGGGCGGGGCAGACCTGCAGGTCTGGTCTCAGGCAGACTGAGATAGGTCTCAGATAACATGTCCGGCCGCTGTGTTGAGGTTCCTAAAAGTGGCACAAGAGTAAGCACACTGAGTGTCCGGATGTTCTTTGACCGTGGGGCACCCAGACATGGCGAGACTCCTCCCAGCACTGACATTCCGCTGCAGTGTCCACGCTGTCCAGACATATTGGAAGTCTGCGGGGCTCCAGGCGTGGCAAGACTCCATTTGGCAGCCCCCCAAACTGGCAACCTTCGGGGCTGTCCA